AATTAACCGTTACGTTGATGACTTGAATGATGGGCTTAAGAGTATGGCATGCCAAATAAAATTAAAATTTGATAAATATTGGGCGAATACTAATAATGTGAATGTGTTGATGTTCATTGCTTTAGTTCTTGATCCTAGGCCTAAGTTGAGATATATTGAATAGATCATTAGTTGTTCTCATGATCCTAGTGGCTCTTATGTCTTGTGTTAATGGATTAAAGATATTTTGACATCGTTGTCTGATTATTATGCTTCTTTGCATCACTCTACAATTCAAATGAGATCATACTCTTCAGGTCCTAATTCTAATTCTAGTGGTCCTCATGGTGGTGAGGGAGAAATAAGGAAGTTGAAAGGAACAAATTTGAGAAAATACTAAGTGACAGAGGTAGAACTAAATAAAACTTCTGAAACAACAACTGAACTAGACATGTATTAGGCGGGATAAATGTAATACCCCAAATATCAAGTAAATGACTTTATTGAAAAGATTTAAAATGGATGATTAATTTGAATAAATGATAAAGGATAAGAAATTATTTAGAAATAGTGTTTAAGACCAATTAGTAACAATGGATGAATAAAGAGGGCATTTTGATCCTTTAAGGGGAAATGAATTTAAAATTTCATTTTATTAGGGATTTAAGAAGAGGAAAAGGGGAAAGTTAAAACTAAACTAAGTCATATCTTCTTCTTCTTTTTCCCGTGTTCACGTGCTCTCCCCATAGCCAAGGTAAGTTTTCTTTGAGTTAGTTTATTCTTTAGTTTATGAACAAGTTTTGAAACCTTAAGTGATATAGAGACTAAAGTTCAAGGATGATTAAAACTAAGTGATTAATGAAATGTTTGATATTGAAGGAAAGGAGTTTTTTTAATGATATGTTGGAATATGAGTTTTTTATTGATGTTTACTAGTATATTTGACTTGTCAAGGAAGTAAATAAGAGATTAGAAGCCTTGGATGTGATTAAAAACATGTTAGAAAAAGTGGTATGATTCCTGGTTCGAGATGTTTTTTGGAGATTTTAGATGTTATAAGAAGCTAAAAGAAGGAAAGTTAGCTGAGATAAGTATTGAAGAGTTTAACAATATTGTTAGAGGTAAAAATAACAGAATTTGACCAAAATTGGGTAAAAATCGAGATGGAAAATGGAAAATATGGGTAAGAGTACCGGTACAGGAAGAACAATACCGATACTATAGGTTTAAATTCCGGGAATCAAATGAACAGTATCGATACTGATGCAATTAGTATCGATACTGATGTGGGTATCAATACTATGAGAAAGGTATTGATGCCATGTATTCCAGAATGCGAAAATGGTATCGATGCTGTAAGGGAGTATCAGTACCATAGTATAGAAGTACTGATACCATAGTAGGGGTACCGATACTATTGAGTCTGGAAAATTAAAATATGACGAATTTTGATAGAAATTGAATATTATAGTACTTTTAAGTATTATTAAAAGTATAAATGTTATAGAGTATACTAACATTGGTATGATATGTGTACTTAATGGATGCTTGTGTAGATCATAACCAAGGTCCCATGTCAAGTAAGAAAAAGGGCAAAGATAAAGTTGTCGAATAGCTAGACATCCTTAAAGTATAGTAGCGAGGCATACCAAGTGAGTGCATTTATTATGTACATTAAGAGTTATAGATGCATTTTGTTAAAGGTATATGTTGCATGTGTATATTTGTTCTATGTGTACTATAGGCACTAAGTGTGCAACCCACGGAATTCATCATATGTTGATGAACGACCGTATAGGCACTAAGTGTTCAACCCATGAAATTCAATATATGTTGATGAACGACAGTATAGGCACTAAGTGTGAAATCCACAAAATTCATCATATATTGATGAACGACCGTATAGGCACTAAGTGTGCAACCCACGAAATTCATCATGTGTTGATGAACGACCGGATAGGAACTAAGTGTGCAACCCACAGAATTCATCATATGTTGATGAACGACCGTATAGGCACTAAGTGTGCAACCCATGAAATTCATCATATGTTGATGAACGACCGTATAGGCACGAAATGTGCAACCCACGGAATTCATAATATGTTTTTGGATGACCGTATAGGCACTAAGTATGCATCTCAAAGAAATTATAATGCTTTGAAAATAATGAATTTGTATTTGATAGGTATGATATAATGATGTATCGATCTCACCTCACTAGTATTCTTGCCTCACTAAATAAATACTTAACGTGTGTTTATTTCACGTGTAGGTTTTAGCAAGCATAGTAAGGAGTGCGTCTGACATCGCAAATCGAGAGTCACCTTATCGGTAACTATACGACAACTATGTATATTTTTTATATTATTAGTCGACATGTAATAGAATTATGATAACGCTCTGAAAAGTATTTGACTTATAATGATGTAGAAAGGATAAAATGTTTGAACAGTAAATTTTTGTTTATATACTAAAGTTTAATGAACTTTTTATTAGTATTAAATTAAAATGTTTTATGAAAAGAAACAAACTTTTACGGGTTTTCAAAGGAGAAAATGCTTTAAAAGTGATGTGACATCTGTATCTCGTATACAGAAATGTATACGGGAAATAGGTGTTACAGTAAATGTGTTCATGATAATTATACTTTTGATATCTTAGCTTGGTGGTCTATGCAAACAAATAGCTATCCTATTCTTATGAGTATGGCACATGATATACTTGCGATTCTGATTTCTACCATTGATTTGAAGTCCGCTTTTAGCAAGTAAAGGTGTATTCTTGATTCCTTCCACACCTCTTTGACTCTTAAGTTGGTGGAAACTCTTATTTTTACTCAAGATTGAATATGTGCTTCTCATGAACCCATCATGATAGAGGAGAGCTTGCAAGCATTAGATAATATGGAAGAAGGTTTATTTACGATTAGAAATTTATTAATTTTATTTTATAATATTTATCTACATATTTTAGATATTTAAATAATTATATTTCTAAACATATAATAATATTAATGATGTATATTTTTAATTTTTATGTAGAAATGAATGATTTGACTTCGGAGTAACCCACAATTATCATTGATGAGACGAGCAGAGTTTTGGAGCAATGAAATATATCTCTTTAGTTGCATTTTCTTTAATCTTTTAACACTTCAGTTTTATATTTGGATTATGCAATTTGAATTTTTGAACTTTATGTTTGAATTTAGTAATTTAGATTTTCATGTGTCTAAGTTGTTCGAATTTTAATTTTACAGAAAAGTTAGTGCATAATTTGTTTGTGCATAATTTGTTTATGCAGAATCATTTACTGTTTAGTGTAGAATTTGTTAATGCAGAATTTGAAAAAAAAGACCTGGTTACCCTATTACTTGAAACAGCAGGTACCTTGATTCTAAGGGTACCCGACTTGCGGGAACCTTGAAATTACGGGTCGGGTTATGGGTTGATTTTTAATACCCGAACAGTTTGGGTACCTGGTACTTTGAGTACCCAGTTTTGAACACACCTAACTTGAACTAGTGTATTATTTATTTGGCTTTTAGGATGGGCAATAGATTGGTCATGAAATTGTAATATAACAGTTGTGGGTGTTGATTCAATCCCAAATTTCCTGAAAATAGACAAAGATATTAAGTTAATGCTGAAACCTAAATCACACAATGCTCTGGCAATGTATTGATTGCCAATAATGCAAGGAATAATAAATCTCCCTGGATCCTTCAATTTTGGTGGCACTTTCCTCATGACCATGGTATTATACCCTTTAATGGGTGTAACAATTTTGAACTCGCCAATGCTACTTTTCTTTGATGTAATTTCTTTCATGAATTTAGCATAGTTCAACATTTGTTCCAAGGCACTAATATTGAGATATCGATACTCAATTGCCATGACACATCAAGGGACTTATTTCATTGTTGACCATCCTTGATATTTTGGAATCTGTTAGGAAATATAGGTGGTGGCCTTCCTTTAGGTTGCAATGGCATCATAGGTGGTAGTGTTGTTGGCATTACTAGTGGAAATAGCTTAGAATTATTGTTCTGTACTACATCCTTTGATGTGACATTCATAATAAAGCTCTCAACATGTAATTCCAACTCCTTGTCTTTGGATTTAGGCCTCTCATCCTTTATCTTTTTGAGCTCATCATTTCCCTAAGTTGGAGTCTACTTCTCGTTGTGATGACTTTGTAATGTTGTTTACTAGTAATTTTAGTGTCATTTGGCATTGTTATTTGTTGTTTGTTGTTCAATGCATTGGCCAATTTTCTAAATTGATTATCCACTGCTCTCAACGGTGCTATCTGACTTTGAATGATAATATCATTCCTTGAGATGTACTCCATCAGTAGAGACTCAAGTGATGACGACATTGAATCTTGGTTGAAAGTCTTCCCTTGATAAGTCCGTTGATTGCTACATTGTTGTAGCTACATTACTTGATGATGTGTCTATTGATGGGGCAGTATCATTTGTTGTTACATATATTGTTGTTGCGACTGATGTTGTGATTGTGTATTCTCAAAATATGGATTAAATGTTTTATTAAGGTCAGTTACATTCTGAATTTCTCCTGATAGAATGAAATAATTCTTGAATTTTAGATTATTGGTTTTCTCATATGTGTAGGCATTATCATTCCAATTGTAGCACCTCGAGAAATACACAAAATTAAGATTTTGAGGACATTCCTCAAAATTATGATTGTCACCATAATAAACTCAAGTAATAATGGATGTTTATTTAACTTCATACATACCTCCAAGCTGTTGAATTTTCATCATCTTCTGAGTAATGTGTTCAACATGTCATTATCCATTGTTACGACAACATGTCTCCCTGACATCACCCTTGTTTTAGAATATATGTGATCATTGTTGGATATCCTCTCAAGGATTTCATATGCTTTATTTTAAGACTTGCCCAGTAATGCTCCAATGATTGATGCATCCACAACCATCCTCATTTGTATGTTAGACCATTGTAGGATATCTCCATTTATATCCAATGCTGGAAACCATGCTTCAGGCATTTGCATAGCAAATCTTTAAATCACTCCCAAGCTTCATACAAATTTTCATCTTCCAATTACTTTAAAGATGTGATGTCATTCCTCAATCTCGCATTAATGCTGGGAGGATTGAATTGTAGAAAAAACTTTTGGGCAGGCTTGTTCCATGATGTTATAACTATAGAAAGTAGTGAGTTAAGCCATACTTTGGCTTTGTCATGAAGAGAGTAAGGAAATAATTTCAACTTCAAAGGTTCCTCACTCCTTGTTGAACAAATGAATCACATACTTCCATGAATGCCCTCAAGTGTGCTATAAGATCCTCAGTATGCATCCCACTATACTATGCTATCAACTACAACATTTGGAACATTACATGCTTCAACTCAAAGTGGGCAGCATGGATAGCACGCCTCATAATGTTAGGATTTAAGTAATCCAATGTCTACAAAACATGTTCTGGGATAGGCTTATTGTAGTCATCGATCTTGTAGTAATTTTGTAGCATCAAAATATTTTGTAAAGCCGGAGCATCATAATGGGACATTTTTGGACTTTATTGATGTTGTTTCCTGATTTGGTGGATAGTTCGCTCTATTTCCAGATCAAACTATTCTAAGTCTTGGATGTTGTTCTGTGTCATGCACTAGCAATGCTACATTAAAGCTACCCAGACAAAGAAAATAAAACAAAGTTAGTAAAAACAAAGAAAATAATTCTAATGTAATACTCTTGCTACTCGACCATGGTGCCAAAAACTTAATGATTGCTATAGCATTCAACACAAGTATAAGTATCGTATTCAAGTAGTAAAAGTGGATGCAACTGAATGCATCGGATATAGAACCCACGGAGAGCAAAGAATCACATATTAGAATTGTTAACTTTGAATAAAAAAAATAAATGTTGAGATTGATTGGTAACAGAAATATAGAAAAGATAATGAAATCAAAATGGTAAATATAGGGAATGTAGTAGCATGCATGAGAGAAAATAGACCACTAGACCAATAAATTTTATTGTCATTTGGTAGTTTCTAATATGATTATGTTGTTTTTTGGTCGAAGGGTTCTGACATATGTTGTTGGTCCATTCCTTTGCGGCACAGAATCTTCGATTGGGAAAAGGCACAATAGAACAATCTATGGGCATTGGTATCAAATTTTAAAAGCTCCCTTTTAAAAGAGGATTGGGTCTTATGGAAGGGCTTAAGCGCCGAGAATTTCTCAGTAAAGTCAGATAAAACCCTTATCGGTATAATTGTTAAACTAGATTTAAATTAGAAATCTATAGCACGGATAGGTATTGCTCCCTCAAGGTCGAAGGTTTCTTATGGATTGTTTTTCAGGGATGAGTTTTGGTAAAGAAATAAATTAGCTGACCCTATTCCCATATGTAATGGGGTAAGGGGGAGGTAGGGTAGTAGGTTACCCCCAACGTCAGGTTGAGAGCAACTTCCGTGGAAGACATCCGTTATGAATTGCCCTCAGTGGGACTCGATCCCACAACCTCAAAGTTAAGAGCCTTGTGCTCTACCAACTGAGCTAGACGAGCAATTCAAAGTTTTGGTAAAGAAATAATTGGAGAAAAGAGGTAACCCCCTAGAAAATGGTGTCCTCAGTCCACTATGTAAGACTATTGACGAAATGGTTGATCATCTCATTTTCTCATGTGGTATTGGACGGTCCTCACAATGAACGAAATCATTTTCAATAACAAAGTCGTTGATACTGCCCAATTATTTTTTTATTGTTAAAGCTCAATGGGCTTGGTGGCTTGCTTTAGTAGACAATCTTAGAGCCGACCCATCCTTGCCAGTTTCATTACTTGCCTCTTCGTGATTGAGACTCGCTACTACTAGATGAAAGTTGTCTCCCCTAGATTTTTATCTTTCAGTATCGACGGAGCTTGTATTGCTACCAGTGGTAAATACGGTATTGGAAGTATTCTCTGAAACAATAAAAATATTACCCTTTTGGATTTGTCATCTCCATGTGGTTTTAGATCTGCTCTAATCGCAAAATTTTTGGCTATTAGATTTACCTTGATGTGTTTTCAACGTTCAGGTGGGTGTCTAACTTCGGCTTATTATCAAGTGTGATTGCCTTGTTGTGGTGAATTGGGTGAAGGATCCTTCAAAGTATGCTAGGACATTTTCTCACATTATCAAGTCCATTCACGAGCAGATTCGAAAGAAAGGATGAGCAGATTCGAAAGAAAGGATGGCTCATCAAACACATCCCTCGAGCATTAAACATTGATGCAGATGCTCTGGCTAAAGATGAAATTAATGGTGTCAAAGAGATAGTTAGGGTCCTTGCTTAATTTGCTATAAAATGATGGCGATTAGTTAATTTCGAAGCTGCTCCAATGAAGTTTAAACTGTCATTAGGGACTCTTTACGCTTTGTGTTAGCTATCTTTAGGGAGTCGATTTGTTCGTGTGGATAGAGCAGCTACACCAAAAAGATGAGATTGTTAGTTTTTTCGTAGTTGGATTGGTTTTGGATGAATTTTTTTATCCAGATTCTTGTATTATAGCCACTAAAGGTTGTTTTAAAGGTAGTCATTTGTCCAGGTTGGATTGAATGCTAATGGTAGGCCGTGCTGTGCAAGGTCCTAATCTGTCGTGTATGGAGAGATGTCCCCTCCCTGCTTTTTTAGGTATTGGAACTATTGTTGTACTTTGGGATTGATTTAATAAAATTTTGGGCACTTTTTCCACTTCCGTTGTCTTGGTCGAGTTTTAATTCGATTAAGTTAAGAAGGGGTTTTTAATGAGGCCCTTTTTACCCTTAAAAAATGATTATGCTCTAGCAATACAATTATGCATCATGCAATGATTAACACATTAATCCCCACTCAAAACTAAACAATTAACCAACAAAATAAATTTTCACCAACTTCATTAATCAAGCAGTTAACAAAGCAATGAAAATCGGTAGCATACATCTCCATATGATTAAACCCACTTTCACAAATACCGATGTTTTACATAAGTAGCATAAAACCTCAATGATTTCCATTTCTAAAAATAACCAATATTGACATACATAAAGATATTTCTATTTCTAAAAATATCAAATGAAGTTTCAGCACATAAAATTATTGATTTAAGCAAACTCCATAAAACAAACATCTTATGTTTAAATCCAAACAACACCATAACAAAATAAATCATTCAAACTTAAAAAGGTATTCCCTCTTTCAAACAAAGACACTATAAAAAGTTTGAACCCTAAATGGTCATCGCTACTACATCGTACTGCTCTTCGGTTGTTGCTACACTCCTCGACGAATTCAAACCTCCATGTGCGGTGGAGGAAAAAAGAAAATAAAATGAAAAAAGTGTGTAGAAAAGAGAAGAGATGTGAAGAGTGTGAAGAGAGGCTTCATTTGTAATCCCTAAAGGTCAGCATCCTCAAAGAGGAAAAACATGATTTTTCCTTTATTTTCCAGCCATTTTATAGTTGTATTGGACAATTGTCCGATTCCATAAAATTTTAAAATTACCTGTTGAGTCACTAGTTACTGCATATTCGGCTTAGTAATCTTGTATTGTATCATTTCACAACAACGTTTATATCATCAACAATGTCACAACTTCAGCAAACCAAATCACAAAAAATATCATAAACAGCCCAAAGCATATAAAGTCACTCCCAATGTGCAAATGATGTAAAATATGATGAAACAAAACCTAAAATGATCCTAATATGATCCTACTAATGGCAAAGTTTAAGCTTAACATAGGTAAAGTTATTATAAAATATAACTCTTTTGGAGAGTTATATCTTTATGGAAAGATTTTAATATCTCATTTCAAATCCATGAAAAATGTTGATCGGAAGATTTCGGGAGCAGTAATGTATTCTCACAGCCAGATTTTTAACAAGAGATCACCCTTCTCCACAGACTTGATTGTTCTTTCCAATACCTTAGAATCCATCTTCTCAACAAAGACCTATTCATTGTCTCAAGATTAACCATACTGAGACCACCTTCTTGAAACGATTTACACAATAGGTCCCATCTTACCCGATGAATATTGGATTTGTCTACATCTCCACTGCACATTAAATTTGTCATAAGCTTCTTTAATCAATTAGAGATCGAAACTGGCATTTGAAACATAGATGCGTAATAAATTTGTAAGCTCGTGAGATTGGACTTAATCATCATTACCTTACCTCCATACAAAAGGAATTTTGATTTCCAGTCTTCAAGTCTTTTGTGAATTTACTTACCATAGGATCCCGTAGGAATGTAGAATTTTGGTTTTCTCCCGAGGAAAGACAAAGATAACTGGATGGAAACCTATCTACCAAGAAACCAAGAGAATTAGGCCATCTTTGTAACAACGACTACTAAACATTGATGCCCAATATTTTACTTTTTTTTAGATTAAGCTTAAAACTTGAAGCTAACTTAAAAAATCTAAGAACTTGTTTAATATTCTGAATTTGAACTTCAGCTGCCCCATAAAAAATCAAGAGATCATCAGCAAACTGTAGGTGGGATACTAGAGTATATTCTTTCCTACTGCCAATATAGAACCTCGAAAATAGTCATAGATGGATAGCCTTTTGAATCATCAGGTTCAATGTTTCTCCAACTATATTAACAAGTAAAAGAGATAGTGAGCACCCTTGTCTTAAACCTCTCGAAATAGAAAAAGATTTGTAGGCTCCCCATTTACCAAACTCAAAATTCTAGCAGAAGAGATGCATTTAAGAATCCACGTGCACCATATATCTCTGAAGCCACGTTTTTTTCATAATCTGAATCAATAAATCTCAATCTATTGTATCATATGCTTTCTGAAAACCAATTTTGAATGTGATACCTCAAAGTCTAGATTTAGACACAAAATCTGTAACATGCTAAACCTAATTGGACCTAAAGTGTCACATTGGGCTACAGACACAACCCCTGCTTTTCAAAAAAATGTTCATTAGCATTTCAAAACATAATACATGGTATCAAAATAGACATACAAGACAATTACAAAATATTTTACAAATCGGAGCTTCGTGACACAATTTAAAATAAAAAAAAATAAAACTCTGAGTTATAAATTTGGATATAATAATAAGGTCCTATGAATACAT